ACTCTTCCTTCATTCTTTTAAGTATGGTTTGTTAATTTGTGGATTATTTTAGTAATGATTATCCTATATTTAAAAGTAGCTAAAATCTTGATTTTTTTATTTACATGTATAACTTTTAGAATTTAAAATAATCTCAACCATTTTATATTTACAAAGTCAGATCATGGCATCTCAAAGTATCTTCAAATATGTCAGGCATTTGGACAATTTCGTTCCTAAAAACAACTGAGGAGTTATCGTTGACCCATGAAAGAACTTCACACCCTTGTTTGGTGTGTAAACATTTCTATACAGCATAGATTTACATTTCATTTCCATTATTTTTGAAGTCTTGAATTATTCCCAATACCCAAGTTTGGCTTTTCTGCTTTTACTGCATTGTCTTCCTTCTCTTTTCGACAATATGATTTCTTCCTTTCAAAACCTAGATAATTTGGATTTAGATAAAGTCAGAGCATAGGCAGTGTAATATTCCATGGAGAACCAGAGGGACATAAAATATCCTAGGATGGGATAAGAGCCTGACTGAGATCTTTGGAAATTTTATTATGCAGCAGGCTAATGTGTTTATAACACTGGTCTTGAACAATGAATCATTGGTACAATTTACTGTAGACAGAAGATCTTAAACAAGAATATTTTAAGAATATGCTTTAAAAAATATAATTCTCTAACACAAAAACTGGACATTTCAGTAATATTGTGACTTTGCACATTTTTTTGCTGTTGTTTCCTTTCTTGCTATAAATAAATTGGATTGTTCTTCCTATTAATCCATTAAAAACATTCAACAAACAAATACCTTTCATACTGGCCTTCCAGGTAAACATTAATGATATAATCTATTATCTAAGTAATATATTTTTCCTAAACTTCCCTCCTAGAACTCGCTTATTCCAGGAGAAGAATGCAAGCTAGCTGACCCAGGGCTATCTCATCTCTGAGTTAATAGAACTGTTGAGCATTTCTCAGTGATGGTATTAGCTGGGTGACTTGCCTTGACTTTTACTTTTCTAGAGTCTTCTTTCTCAAATTAGTTTTTGCCTTTTGGCATGATTTCTTTGAAACTTTGAAAGATTACTTAGAAATAATGAAAGACTAACTGCCTCAAATAAACATAAAATGAAACCTCTCATTAATTTCAAAAAAGGTATTGGTGTGTTGAAAAGTAATCACTGCTTTAGATCAAAATTTAATCTTCTAAACAGGAATTATTAGATATACACTACTTGTGTATATACTATTTACTTTTTATAATTTAATCTTGAAATCCAAAATAAATATCTGTAAAACCTTCTGCTGTATGAAATGAGGAACTCAGCTGTGAGTGCACAATTACTTTGTTTTTCTTTCCACTAAGCTATTTTAACTATTTCCCAATCTTAACTCAGTAATTGAAATAAATGAAAAAGCCAAACTTGTCGAACTTAACAATCAGGAGTAAAAATTATCTACATTTGTGTATACTCATATATTACTCATTCATTTTATTTCTGTACCAAGTATACAAGTATAAAGTTTCTTTTGTTATTCTAATTACTATTATGAAATTAGGCACTGAAGAAAACATTCCAGTCAAGACGGCTGTTTTAGGACCCCAATAAGATAAATACACATTATTTAAAATAACTACTATAAAATAGAGGTAATGAGATAAAATATTTGGTGATGGAAGGAAATTTAACTTCGGGTGGTGAACACGTAATGCAAGATATAATATATATGACATATTTTTGGATTGTATACTTGAAACTTAGTTAATTTTATTAACCAATGTCACCCCAATAATTTTAATACAAAAAAATAAAGAGTAGGAAGAATTCAAAAAAATAACAAAAAAAGAAAAATATCTACTATGAAAATATTTTATGTGCTAGACAAAGACTAGTTTGAATTAATCATGCTTCACATCGACATAGCCAGAGACTATGCTTTTAAAATGGGCAACAATGAAGGCAGACATTAAGAAATCTTAATTTAATAGAGTCAATCCACAGTGAAAGAGACTGTCTATACCTGTCGGCACATGTGATCCCACTGAGTGTTCAGTTCTCTGAGTTCAGTCTCAAGTCTGGAAGCAAACTCTGGCTCTGCTTCATTCTTTATCTTCTGTCCACCTTCATTGACACTGTTTAGACTGGGCTGAATTGTCTGAATATCATTGACTAAAAGCTAAAGAAATAATTCTGTTTAAGCTAGCTGAAAAAATTATCTCAACATATTAGAAATGCAACATAAATAGGCCACATATAATTAGGAATCATGACATTACAAATGAATTTTGTCCTTTTAAATCTGAAATAAATGCGTGTGCGCACGCACACACACATACACACAAACTTCAATATATTAAAAGCCTTCCAAAAAACATTCAGTGTTTTTTCTCATGAATAAAATAGGGAATTATCTGTATTCTACTTAGATTAGTTATCAAAGGAAATAAATTTAATGTTTCTTGTTAGAAAATGTGTGAAAATGATGGGCTTTATACATTACTGTTTTTGAAAGGATTTTGGTTTTCAAACACAGAATATTGCAGCAATTGTTTATAACATGATGGGTGTGAAGGTTATCTGTCGAGTGGATTTCTTTTTTTAGCTTAAATTTGCAAAGAAAATCATTTAAAGAGCTAGATTATTTTCTTCCCACTGCATGACAATGGTATAATACATATTATTTCAAAAATCCATAGTGTATAATATAATACATTTCAATATACATGAAAAGAGTAATACAGCATGACTAATAATCTGTAATAAGATATTAACAAATAACTCCAAGGATTATTTACCTTTAAACCAACTTCATTTTATGTTAAAATAATCTTGTAAAAAGAAGGTTGAGTAAATGATAACATTTTTCTGTTTTTCATTTAACCCAGTTTCTCACCTTTGACACTACTGCCATTTTGGACTGGGTAATTCTTTATCATGGGGCAGGGGACTGTTCCGTGCATTGTAGGATGTTTAGAAGCATCCCAGGCCTCCACTTACTATATGCCAGTAGCATCTAGGCCACTCCAAGTTGTGACAAATAAATTGTCTCTAGACATTACTAAAATGCCCCCTCCCCAGGGTTGGCGGGGAATCACTCCTGGTTGAGAACCACTGATATAACCAAAAAAATATTTCCACATAAAAGCCTTCATATGAAAAATATCACATACAAATCTTACCCTGCACTGTTTCAGCTGTTTTTTAAGAATTTCTAAATCCCCAAGAGCAGGCCATTCCTCTTTCAGGAAAACATCGACTTCAGCCATCCATTTCTTCAGGGTTTTTATATGATTCTGGAATCACAAGCCCATTTTAAGGCATTATTGAGGTGCTGATTTCCCTTAACACAATTCATCATGGTGATATGTCTGAACACAATTCCCAGGAACAATTCCCATGTTTGAAAGATGTCTAAGGAGCTCTTCAGGAAAATAATATTTTTACCAAGACTGCATTTTTATGGTCTACTGTATGAGCACTGGTGTATGAAGTCTGCTATTGTTAAAAATAAAAAATTACTACCAAATCTGGTTTTATGATGTTACTCTTGAGAACATTAAATCATATCCCCCTCTAGAGAAATTTTAAGTTACAAAACAACTCATGATAATACTAACAAAGTGCCCTTACAGTACATAAAACAAACTATGAACAATAAACTCAATGTAATGGTATCTTTATAGCCTCCCTAAACCTGAACTTCCACAAATTGTTTTTTGCAGTTGACAGTTTAAATAGTCCCTCCAGTTGGGAACTTTCAGGCCAAGATTTTGTCATCTTGTAAGAGAAAACTTTTGCTTTGAATTTCTTATTTGCTTTATCAGGTTGAAGTAAAGATCAGGTGAAAAATGTCCTCTTTCATCATTTATAAATAGCCAAGTACCTCCCATTATTCTTTCACATTTGCCTTTTTCCCATTGCTTTTTTTGGCTCCTTTCCAAATGTATGATTTTCAAACTTCTTTATTTCCAAACAATTCAACTATGCTGTCCAGATGTGCTATTTTCTCCTTTCTTAAGTAAATTTCTATTGAAAATATGTGCTTCACAGAAAGTTACTCTTTCAATATGATTATTAATAATAATGAATTTTAAAAGCATTTGACTAAATCTAAGAACTTTAGATTCCACCATCATTATCTTGCTGATAATTATCAAGTCTGGTTTTATGCTTTGTCCATGTCCAAATTGTCCTGGTTCGGATCTTAATATTGGCTCCTTGATTACTGTACTGGCTTTTTTTTGGTATTGGTCTCAGTCTTACCCATTTTCTGCATTGGTGTCAGTATTCTCTCTACCTCCCTCTTATCATAGTGATGCTTTGTACGCACAAATATTATCATATATTTCCCACTTTAAAATACCAGTAACAGTTCCACATTATTGTTTTTAAATTCATCACCATTAAAACACCATTTAAAAAAAACAAATATTATTGTTTTTAAATTCATCACCATTAAGTTATAACTCATATTTCAAAGCATGACATTCAGAACCATTCATTTTCTATTCCCAGACCATTTTTCCAATAATGTATTTTATCCATCTCCAAACATATCTTTGTCTCTTCAATATGGAACCATTACCAGCTGATTGAACATACTGCTCCATTTTGTCAGGAACTCATCCTCCCTTTTTACTAGTTGACTAAATTTTACTTGTTCGAGGTATAGCCTACATAACCCTTGTTCCAAGGACATTTCAGAACCACTTTTCCCAGATTCTGTTGGATTTTTTTTTTCTGCCTATTGTCATAAAAATTACCACACTGTTTAATTTACTTCCTGTGTTGGCTGAATAATGACTTGCCAATATGATCAGGCCCTAACTCCCACGACCTACGAATATTAGCAAAAACCACTTTGCAGATGAGATTCAGTGAAGGACTTTGAGACGGGGAGATTATCCTGGGCTATCCAGCCAGGCACAAGGTAGTCACAAGGGTCCTTATTAAGAGCAAGCAGGAGTATTGTTAGAGAAACAAAAAGATACTACACTGTTGGCCTTGAAATAGAGGATGGGGACATGAGCCAAGGAATGCATATAGGAAAGCTAAAAAGGACAAGGGAACAGATTTTATCCTAAAGCTTCCAGAATGGACATGGCCCTGCAGAAACCTTGACTACGGCTCACTAAAACTGATTTTGGACTTCAGACTTTCAGAACTACAGGATAATAAATTTGTGTTGTTTTAAGCCATTAAATTTGTGGTAATATGTTATAGCAGCAATAGGAAACTAATACACTTACCTTTCTCCTTCACTAGAATGTGGGCTCCTTAATGGCAAGGACCACATAATTGTACCCTCTTTTACCACTGGTACTGGCAAAAATGCATTTTTATGTATGTGTCTGTATGCATATGTATGCACGCATATGTTCATATGTAGCAACATATACATGCGTGTTGTACATTACAGAATGTTTTCAGAGTGCTCAGTCTTTTGGTCTGTACAAGGTCAGAAAAAGTGAGTAGCTGTATTGGAATTTAAATCCAAAAACTTCTTGTTCCAATGCTTTTTCATCATGCCATGATGCTTTCAAAGATTCTTAGAAGAATTTACATTCGCAATAATTCACCACATAAAAGAGATATCGCTTATATTACTAAGTATTTTAGACTTTAGATCAGAATGTAATTGTTTGTTACTATTTTCAGCTTGGGTGATTATTAATATGGTGGCACTATTCAAATAAATTAAGTCACTAGAAGCTATTTTGTGGAATGTGATGGGGGTCAAATTTATACATAGAAGTAAAATATGCTGATGAAATGATATGACTATATTCCATGGTACATAACTTTTTAACTATTCATAAGCTAAAGGAAAGATTGGTTTTGAATATTATTTGAGCTAAAAACGTGTTTAAATCTCATTGGTATTGGCGGAAGAAAAACAAAATAATTCTAAAGAAAATGAAGAAGCAGAACTCCTAATTACTGTTTTCTTAAAACAAATTGGCAAACTACATTCCTTTGAGAAAGATTTGTGTCTTTTGATATCACTGACTCTGAATGACTATGGAGGTTAAATCATTTGCCTTTAAATTTTATAAATGCATAGTTTAGGGAGAAACGAGTAAAGAAAAAATAAATATAAAAAGTAAAATCTTGAATTACCTGAATTTTTCGGAGTTTAGACATTTGATCCTCTAGCTTTTGGTAATATTCAACCAACTGAGAGGAGAGCTTCTTCCAGCGGCCCTCAATCTCTTCAAATTCTGATTGATATTTTCGGCTAATATCAGAGGGCGCGTTCTTTGACATGTCTTTCACAGTGGTGCTGAGATAGTTTAGGCCACTTTGTTGCTCTTGCAGAGAACTTTGTAAAGCCTCCATGTTGAAAAAGAAAAGTACATGTATACTAATTGATGAATAATAATGATAAGCTTCATTACTATCTTCATTGACAAGCTTCAGTTAAAGTAAATGAACTTAAAATGAAAGCTAGGTGATTCAAGTATCTAAAACAATAGATGATGTAATATTAGTTATAACTGGTCATAATTTAAAGTTTACTTTTTATCATAAGAGTAATTTGCACATTATTAAGATTTTGTTTTAAAATCTATGCCCACTTTAATGAACAATGTCAAATCTATCCAAAACTATATCTTATGGAACCAGAGTTTTAACAACCTAATTTTATGCTATTATTTCTGTATATTAATTACTGCTTTTATGATATAGTTAATGGAGTTTAACTTAATTATACTGAGCCTTTATGAAGACAACTTCTAACCTCCCTCAGTAAAAATATAACTAAATCATATTGAGATATGGGAAAACACAACTGTAAATAAGTTACCAGATAGATGGTCTACTAATGCCAGTTAACTAAAGTTTTATAGTTTTCAAAAGACATTATAGTATTATAGAGAAATTCCAGGGTAATTTTGGGAAAAATTGATAAAGTTAGTTTTATACCTATACTATATTACCTATGCAGTCTCTTATAATAGGATGCCAATCTTTAGGTTTCCACTACTCAATATTTATTTAAATGCTACTTTCTGGTTATAAAGTAATAAAAGTTCAAGATTAAAAAAAAATGAAAAACACACGTACATACAACTATTATGATTTTAAATAAACCAGTTTTTTCTATGTATAACTAAATATTGAATATCTGATGTTATCACATGAACACACGCACATTTTTCCATTCTTTTATAATGTGACCTATAACATTCTCAAAATAGGTCAAACACATAACTTTTATCATTGCACAATATCTTTTTTCTATTTTGTGGTATTTTACTTTTTAAAACTATTACCCTTGATTATTTAGACAATATCTAACATGCATATAACTACATTTTGAGCTGGGCATTTCATTGTGAGCCTTTTCCCATGTCACTAAGTATTTTTCAAAAACAAATTTAATGGTTTCTCTAGTTCAGTTAACCATTTCCCATTATTAGCTCTAAAAATTAATTTAGAGTTTTCCACTTTTGTAAATTATGCTTACAATCTATCTATCTCCATCTATCTATATCTTTGAGTACATTCTGGATATTTCCAAAAGATAGACTTTGTGGAAATAGTATTCACATGTACCATTAAATGAATTGTTTTACATATTATTAGGAGGTATTGAAAAGTTTTCCTCAGAAAAATTTACACTCATTTACATTGCCACTAGTAAGTGAGAACACAGTTCATTGCTGACAGATCTGCGCTTATCTCTTTGGATTTATTTTTTGTAATTTAGTATGTGAAAAATGATATCTCATTTTGTAAATCTGTACTTCATCCTTTATAATTCGAATTACAATTTTTCAGAGGTTTAATGGTTGTTTATGTCTCTTTCTGATGACTTCCTTATTAATGACTTTTGCCTTTCTTAGAAAAATTTTTTCAGTGGTCTCATTTTTCTTTTAAATTGTCTCTGGTAGTGTTACAATGTTTGTGATTGCTTCCATTGATTACATGCTTCCCCATCATATGTTTTTACAGACTTTTATTAAAAATTTCTGTAAAATTTATGATTAAAATGTTTTTGAACTTTTTAATTTATGTGGTATTTTATTTTGGTGTAACATTTGATACAAGGTTCTAACTTCACTTTTTGTTAGCTAATATATTTTCGTAATAATATTTATAAATAATTTTCCCTCTTCACTATTTTTTCAGTAAAAATATACTTTACAGTCATCTTGGCACCATTTCTTGTGTATTTAATGTACTCCTCTACTTGCTATGACTTTATACTCTTATTTTTTTAAGTTTATAATTCTA